CCAAGGTCCTCCCAACCCTCCCGGCTGCATCCCCGGAGCGGAGCCGCTCCCGCTGTGCCCAGCTCCCAGCGGCCCTGCCGGGGTGTTTCAGGCCCACGGCATTTTTGTCTTCCCCCAGGGCCCCTCTCCAGCCGGGGTGGAGGGTGGGATGGTGGAGGGAGAGGGGGGGACAGGAGCCCGGAGTGGCTGTGGGGGACCCACGGGTGAGAGGATGGGGGTGCCACTCCAGGGAGGCTCTGACAGGTCTCTGCCTCGCTGGCTGCCAGAGTTGGAAGGGATGTGGAGAAGGCAGCAAGAGAAGGGAGGGCCCTGGGCTCTGCCGGCTTTTCATCACAGCCCAGCTCCTCAGGGATGATTTTGGGGTGATGCTGTTGCCAGGCCAGTGGGGTTCCCCCTCGCGGGGTGCTCTGGCTCTGGGCGCTCGGGCCCAGCCTGCAGAAACGCCGAGCAGCCGCAGTGGCAGCCGGAGCTGGAGCAAATCCTGGGACGTGCTACGGAATACCCAGGATTCAGCCCATCCGTGCTTCGGCGCAGGACTGACCATCGGTGGCCGTTTTCTCGGCTGACACGATCCCTGATCTCGGCGTGGAGCTGGGATGGGCTGTTTGCTGCTTGCTGGGATGTTGCTCCAGCTCCCGGTGTCGGAGCAGGGCTGGGGGGAGCGTGGGGGGGAGGATTAGCACTTGTGTGCTCAGTGCAGGGTTTGGACAGACTTGTAAGCCGTGGCTCCGAGCCACGCAATCAGCCGTTGTGAGCAAGGAGAGGCTGGACTTTGGTGCCCATTCCCGAAGCGGTGCTGCCTCCCGTGGAACGGGGCCAGGAGGCTGTGGGAATCACAGGGAGCACAGGCTTGTTCAAGCAGTTGCTTAAATTCGCGGCGCTTTATAACCTCTCTCTCATTAAGGCTTGTTTTCTGTTGGTTTTTTTGTTGGTTTTTTTTTGGTGGGGATGGCTGAATTCTGTCGGATTTTGCATGCCACTGTCCTCCGAGAGCTTCCCAGTCATGCATTAAGCAGCGTGACTAACGCCTCTCTCATGTGGTTCAGTGTCTCTCACACTCTCCCCGTAGGGAGAATTGTGTGTGCGGAGGAATAGTTGTTTTGGGAGGGGTTTTTATTTTTAAGTGCTCTGTGCTTTGCCAGCAGGTTGGAAAAAGGTGCCTGGCACCAAAGAAGAAAGTGTGGGATGGTCCTTAGATCCCATGGGAAAATAGCCTAGTGCCTTGGACTGGCCCCTGGGAAGCCTGTGTCTCCTGCACAGACGTGCTTGTGGAGGCTTCCTCTTCCTCATCTTCCTCCTCCTCCTCCTCACGCCCAGCTCTGAGCTCTCACGTCTGCGCTGTGTCATTTGCACCCCTGGGTGCCCGAGCAGGATTCCCGACCCTGCTGATTCCTTATCCTGCCGAGCCCAGGGCCCCTTGTGCCTTGCAGCACTGTCCCTCAGGCTCTCAGCCCCTCTCCTCCTCCCACCTCCCTGCTCTGCAGGCTTCCTTCCTTCACCTGCAGGAATGGGTCTTGGCTTCACACTCCAGCCTTGGTTTTGGAGCAGAAATCCTGGGTGCTGGGCACCTTAGGGTGACACCCTTCCTCCTCCAGGCTGGCACAGGGCTCCTGGCATTTCCAGCTGCTGGGCCCTCCCTCCCAGCTCCCTCAGCTGTGCAAGGCATCAGCGCTGCCTTGAGACTTTCCCCTCTCCCTGCGATCTTTCACCTCACACCAAGGCTTAGCCAGGATGTGGCTACGTCACCAGCAGCCAGGGCCCAGCCCAGTGCAAACAGCCCAGTGCAAACAGCCCAGTAGCAGGCACGGCACCTCTCCCAGCCCGGGCATCCTCCAGGAGCCCTTTCCCAACAGCTGGAGCTGCCCATCTTCCCTGTCCTCACCCACAGCCATCCTCAGTGGGAGCGCAGGGCTGACGGAGCTCGGGGCAGGTTCAGCTTCCCCTGGAGGCAGCTGGATGTGGGGGGTCTGGTGTGAGCGCACCCCGGGGGTGTGGCAGACACGAGTGTGACCCAGGTGCCGGTGCCCCCGCACGGGTGACATCACACACATCCGCAGGCAGCGGCGCCAGGGCCATGCGCACACGCAGGCACACGCGTCGTGCGGGGCACACGCACGTGCAGGAGCGCCAGCTCACACCTGGGGCACGGGCCCAGAGCGGGCAGGGATGTGCTGCTCACCCCGTGTGACACACCTGCGTGCCCTGCTAGGGCACGGGAGTGATGTGTGTGCCTTTTCCTGCGGGAGCCGTGCTCCAGGCGGGTGCACAGCCCTGGAATGCTCACAGTGCACACCCAGTACAGACACACACACACACACACACACACACACACGTGCACACACTGCCCACGCTGATGCAGAGATCTGTTGTGGTTCTGCTCGGCTCCTGACCTCCTCCATCCTCAGCCTGGGCCAGGGATGGAAGAGGTCTTGCTCTCCTCATCCCTTCCTCCTGGAGTCACACATCCCAGAACCAATGTGGGCTGTTCTGCATGGCCTCAGCAGCTGGGAATGGCTCTGCTCTGCACAAAGGAAGTGTCAGGACAAGGGAGCAGAGGCAAGCTTGGCTTCAGGGCCACAGTCCCCTCTCCAGGCACCGAGATGTATTTTCTCTGCGGAGGCAGAGCTCATCTCTTCCATGTCCCCACATCCAGAGGGGTGGAGGGACTGGGAGCTGTTGGCTTGTGGGAAGTGCCAAGGAGGACAGGGCAGGGTGTTCCACTTGCTGATGATCTGTACAATGCCAGGCTAACCAGGAACTGGGCGCTTGCTGTGTGGCACCACGGAGGGGGATGGTGATGGGGCACTTGCCCATGGAGCATTTGCTTATCCTTGAGTGCAGAGTATGGAGAGATGGGAGCGGCGAGAGCAGGGTGATGCTGTGGGGCCTTGACAGGTGTTTGTGGCTGTTCATTTTAGGGCATCCAATCCCTGGGTTTTTGAGTGTCAGTGATCTGTTTTGAACCCCTTTATGCTCACAGCTCAGCAGAAGCCATGTGGGTGCTTCTGGACCCTGGAGGAGGAAAATGTGTTCTTAGAACGGAAATCAGGGAACAGGAAAGCTGGTGGCCAAGCACAACACCTGACAGGGGCTTGGTGGCAGGCTTGACACAGGAGGGGACAGCCTGTGGTGCTGGCAGTGTGCCTGGCACGGCCTGGGCAGTGTGTGGGCACAGGGAAGAGGAGCCAGTGGTGGGGGCAGCGGTGCAGGGGTGCAGGGGTGTCTCTGCAATGCAGGGGGGCAGCACTCCCGGCACCTCCGCTGCAGCAGAGGGGTGGGCACTGGCGCGGGGTGGGCACCCAGTGCGTGCCATGTCCCAGACTGGAGTGGGAGGGAACAGGAAGGAACAGTGTGTCTGCAGTGAGGAAGGGAACAGGAGCTGCTGGTGCAGGGTGTGGGGTTGCCTAGTGACTGTGCAGCGAGGGGGATGCTGTGCTGCCGTTGCAGTGCGCCGGGGCTGGGCACTGCCGGGGGCTGCCCGGGGGGTTCCTGCACTGCAGCGCAGCCCGGGCAGGGACCCGGTGTCCCTCCGCCTGCTTGGGGCACCGGGGCTGGCAGTGCTCCACAGGCAGTGTGGGAGGGACGGTGCTCAGGGCATCCCTGCAGTGCCAGGTGGGCGGTGCCTCAGTTCCTCGCAGTGCGAGGCTGGCAGTGCCACAGTGCTGGCAGTGCAGTGAGGGCAGTGCTGCTCTGTCCCTGCCACGGCCCTGCCCCGCGGCCCTGCAGTGCTGGAGGGGTGACAGCCCTACATCTCCGCAGCACCCCATGGCCCTGCAGCGCCCTGCAGCCCCGCAGTGCTGGATGGGTGGCATCCCTGGATCGTGTTCCTGCAGTGCTGGATGGGCGGCAGTCCTGCATTCCTGCAGTGTCCTGTGTTCCCGAAGTGATGGCTGCTACTGTTCCTGCAGTGCAGGCAGTGATGGATGGCAGGGAGATGTGGGCTGACAGTGCCCCGTGTCCCTGCAGTGCTGGGTGCATGGCAGCCCAGCATCCCTGCAGCGATCCACGGCTCTCCATGCCTACATGGGTGGCAGCCCTGCATTCCTGCAGTGCCCTGTGTCCCTCATCCCTGCATCTGTGCAGTGTCCCACATCCCTGCCGTGCTGGATTGGTGTCAGCCCCACATCCCTGCAGTGCCAGGTGGGTGTCAGCCCCACGTCCCTGCAGAACAGGCAGAGGTCCCCGTTTGGTGCTCCCGTTCCTGCAGTGCTGGCAGCTGCGTGCAGTGCCCTTGTGTCCCTACCGTGTGTGGCAGGCAGTGCCCCTGCACTGGTGGCACACAATGCTCCAGTGTTTGGGTGGTGAGAAGCTGTCTCAGAGTCTGGCCGGCTCCCATCGGGTTGTTGGCAGCAGGCTGCCTGCAGTCCACCCTGTTACTGTGCCTCGTTGGGTCTAATTACAGTTGGTGTGGTGACGAAGAGGGTGGACAGTGGCAGGAGTGGCTTCCTGCAAGTGACAGGGCTGAGGTTTCAATGACAGGGTTACTCACTCCAGCAGGGCGTTGCAGGAACCTTACAAGCTGGGACGGGTCCTTCGGGGCACTGGAGGCTGCCAGGAGCCAGCCCCAGCAGCCCCTTCCCTTCGGGAGCCGTGCCAGGACCATGTACAGTACCACATGGCGCAGTGGGATAAGCCAGGGAAGTGGGCCGGTCCCTAACCTCCGGTGTCTATGTCTCCTCCAGCTCCCCTGCAGCGCAGGATGAACCCACTGGCATCCTGCCTCGGCCTGTGGCTCCTCTGCCAGCTCCCAGCCCTGGCCTCGGGGACACGTGCCATCTACAAAGTACAGGAGGAACAACCCCCCAACAGCCTCATAGGGAGCCTGGCCTCCGACTACGGCTTACCGGACATGGGGCACCTCTACAAGCTGGAAGTGGGGGCCCCTTACCTCCGTGTGGATGGCAAGACGGGGGACATCTACACTACAGAGACCTCCATCGACCGGGAGAACCTGCGGGAGTGCCAGCACCTCCTCCCCGGAGAGCCCTGCTTCCTGGAGTTCGAGGTGTCCATCACTAACCTGAACGCCAACAGCAGCCCGCGCCTGCTCGAGGGGCAGATCGAGGTGCTCGATATCAATGACAACACCCCCAACTTCGCCTCACCCGTCCTCACCCTCTCCATCCCCGAAAACACCAACATCGGGACGCTCTTCTCCATCCCCCTGGCCATGGACCGGGACTCAGGCCCCAACGGCGTTGCCTCCTACGAGCTGATGGCTGGTCCGGAGGCGCAGGAGCTCTTTGGGCTGCAGGTGGCCGAGGACCAGGATGAGAAGCAGCCTCAGCTGATCGTCATGGGGAACCTGGACAGGGAGCAGTGGGACTCCTACGATCTGACCATCAAGGTGCAGGATGGGGGAAACCCCCCACGGGCGAGCAGTGCCCTGCTCCGCATCACCATCCTGGACATGAACGACAACGCGCCCAAGTTCGAGAAGGCCCTGTACGAGGCAGAGCTCTCTGAAAACAGCCCAGTGGGGCACTCTGTCCTCCAGGTGAGTGCGGGGAACTCTTCTCCTCACCCTTTCCCCTCCCGCCTGGCTGCAGGGACAACCCAGGAGCATCAGTATGGTCGTGGTTCTTCCAGGGAGGAGGGAGGGTCGGATGGAGGAGCCCACAGTGTCACCCGGGGCCAGCAGGCAGGCAGGTCCCTGGCATGTCACATCTGCTTGAGCGAAGCTGGAGAGGATGTGCCGGAAGGCGCAGCCAGAGTGGGGCTGCAGGACAGAGATGAGGGGCGGCAGCAGCAGCGCTGCAGGGAACAGGGTTCCGGGTTACTGGGAGGGCTGGGACCTGAGGGCCACCGGGAACCTGGCTTGGGGCCAGCGCGGTCCCAGTGCTGCCCGCACACAAGACACAGACCCTTTCATAAGTTGCATTCCCTTGGCCGCTCCGTGGAAACTCAGGAGGTGGAGACAGGGAGCATCCCTGCTGCCCGTGCGCGGAGCTGGCTCTGGAGGTGCCCTGCTGTCTACAACGAGCGAGGGCTCTGCCTCGTCTCGGGCAGCGCTGCAAACTGGCCCGGAGAGCCCAGGGGGCTGGATCTTGGTGGATTTGGCTTGGAGGGGGCATTGAGATGATAGTAGTCGACATCTGTTTATCTGCAGCTGCCATCTTAATAAGCGGAGCGCGGCCAGCTCTCATCTGCCTGCTAATTCTGATGTGAATTTTTTAAGAATTCATTTTTCACTGTTTAAGAGAATGGGAGTTGGAAGCAGATAAGGGAGCTGCATGGCCGGGAGGAGAATGGGCTGAGACGCCGCTGCTGCCATTGCTCAGCTTTTATCTTTCAGGGGGAAAATGACTTCCGCCTGTTTTGTGAGTGGAGGTAAAAGGTGGAATTTACATTTAACAACTTTCGTTCTCCATCCAAATCTGCTGAGCAAGATAACGGCGGAGCAGCAAATGGTGCAGAGAAGAGGCTGCTCAGAGAGCCGATTAGGGAGGCAAATGTTAGACAAACCTCATCTTCTTTAGAAAGCAAATAATAGGCATAGAGGCAGGTTTATGGGGATGCAGGGCTCCTGGCGGGCGGGCAGGGATGGACGGTGCTGTGCAGGGCTCAGGCAGCCCCAATCCCTGCTTGGCTGCATCCCCAGACGCCGCGATGGAGCTGCTGCAGCTCCGTTCCTGCAGCAGTGTTGCCTCCCTCCTCACCCTCACCTGAGCCAGGCAGCTGCTCCAGCCCCTCCTCGGGGGCACGGCTGGAGCTGTCCCTCCCTGCTGCTGGCTGGGTCTCAGCGGCACGGTTCCATGGTTCCGGAGTGCCTTCGTGCTGGAGCTGGCCGGGAGGGGAGCGCAGCCAACCGGCCCAGCCGGTTTCTCCGGAAGAGCAAGGCAAAAGCCTCCGTGCCTGAGGGCGGCTCCCAGCTGCTCTGCCGGTCCCAGGCTCTTTGCCCCACAGTCCTTGGCCCCAGAAGAGGAAATCCTGGTTTTCCCCCCACAGCTGTCCCCAGGGAAGGCCACGGAGGGGCTGGCTCCACTGTGCCTTTATCCTGCTCACCAATTGTCCCTCTGTCCTCCAGGTGAAAGCCAACGATTCGGACCAGGGTTCCAATGCCGAGATCGACTACTCCTTCCACCAGGCCTCAGACATGGTGCGGCGGCTGCTGCGCCTGGACCGCGCCACGGGGCTCATCACCGTGCAGGGCCCCATCGACCGTGAGGACATCGGCACCCTCAAGTTCTCCGTCATGGCCAAGGACAAGGGAGCCAACCCCAAGAGTGCCCGCACGCAGGTGGTGGTCACCATCAAGGACATGAACGACAACGCACCCTCCATAGAGATTCGGGGCATAGGATTGGTCACCCACCAGGATGGCATGGCCAACATCTCGGAGGACGTGCCAGTAGAGACAGCAGTGGCTCTGGTGCAGGTGTCCGACCGAGATGAGGGTGAAAACGCAGTGGTGACCTGCGTGGTGGCCGGTGACGTCCCATTCCAGCTGCGCCAGGCCAGTGAGACAGGGAGTGACAGCAAGAAGAAATACTTTCTGCAGACCACCACGCCACTGGACTACGAGTCGGTGAAGGAGTACACGATTGAGATTGTGGCCGTGGACTCGGGGAACCCGCCCCTCTCCAGCACCAACTCCTTGAAGGTGCAGGTGATGGATGTCAATGACAACGCCCCTGTCTTCAGCCAGAGCTTCACTGAGGTGGCCTTCCCTGAGAACAACGAGCCCGATGAGCTGGTCATGGAGGTGAGCGCCACTGATGCTGACAGTGGCTCCAACGCCAAGCTGGTTTATTCCCTGGTGACAGACCCCTCTTCCAAGGGCTCTTTCACCATTGACCCTGACTCCGGGGAGATCCGGGTGAAGGCGGTGCTGGACCGAGAGCAGCGAGAACGCTACGAGTTCTTGGTGGTGGCAGAAGATAAGGGCAGCCCCAGCAAGCAGGGCACAGCGTCCGTGGCCATCAACGTCATGGACAGGAATGACAACGACCCCAAGTTCATGCTGAGCGGCTACAACTTCTCAGTGATGGAGAACATGCCGCCCCTCAGCCCCGTGGGCATGGTGACGGTCATCGATGCTGACAAAGGAGAAAATGCCCGGATCCAGCTGTCGGTGGAGCAAGACAACGGGGATTTTGTCATCCAAAATGGCACTGGCACCATCCTCTCCAGCATCTCTTTCGACCGGGAGCAGCAGAGCACCTACACCTTCCGACTCAAGGCGGTGGACGGTGGGGATCCACCCAGGTCTGCCTATGTGGGGGTGACCATCAACGTCTTGGATGAGAATGACAATGCCCCCTTCATCACTTCCCCCTCCAACGCCACCTACAAGCACATCCTGCCCCACACCAGCCCCGGCCAGCAGGTGAGCAAGGTCAAGGCAGAGGACATCGACTCGGGCATCAATGCCGAGCTGATCTACAGCATCACAGGAGGAAACCCCTTCGAGCTCTTCCAGATCTCCCCGCAGAGCGGAGACATCACTCTGGAGAAGGAGATCCTGCGCAAGCACCATGGCCTGCACCGCCTGGTTGTGCGTGTCAATGACAAGGGCAAGCCCTCGCGGCACGGTACGGCTCTGGTGCACTTCTACGTCAACGAGACGCTGGCCAACCGCACGCTGCTGGACACGCTGGTGGGGCACAGCCTGGACACCCCGCTGGACATCGACATCGCCGGCGACCCCGAGTATGAGCGCAGCAAACAGCGGAGCAACATCCTCTTCGGGGTCATCGCCGGCATCGTGGCCGTCACCCTGGTCATCGTGCTGGTGGTCCTGGTGCGCTACTGCCGGCAGCGTGAGGCCAAGAGTGGCTACCAGGCAGGCAAGAAGGAGACCAAGGACCTGTATGCACCCAAGCAGGCCAGCAAGAGCGGGAAGAGCAAGAGCAAGGTGAAGAAGAGCAAGTCTCCCAAACCGCCCAAGCCCACAGAGGATGAGGAGGAGACAGGGCTGCAGAAATCGCTCAAGTTCAACCTCATGAACGACTCCGTCAGTGACAGCCCCCGGATCCACCTGCCCCTGAACTACCCTCCGGGCAGCCCTGACCTGGGCCGCCACTACCGCTCCAACTCGCCGCTGCCCTCCATCCAGCTGCAGCCTCAGTCACCCTCCGCCTCCAAGAAGCACCAAGTGGTGCAGGACCTGCCGGCCACCAACACCTTTGTTGGCACCGGGGACAACAACTCGACGGGCTCCGAGCAATACTCGGACTACAGCTACCGCACCAACCCCCAGAAATACACCAACAAGCAGGTAGGAGAGCTCATCCTGAGGCCGGCAGCGGCCCCCCCACTGCACCGGGGAGCCATCTGGACAGAGGTGTGGGAGTGAGCATGGACTGGCCCCCAGCCCTGCATGTGTGGCCCAGGGGGCTGGCGCTGGACTACCCCGGAGCCGAGCCACAGAGCCTGGGCATGGTGCAAAGAGGGGATGGGGACGGTGTGGGGGGAGGCCAAAAACTGTCCAAGCCCTTGTCAGAGCGCCCGGGGCTGGGTCCTGGTGGCGCTGCCTGGGTGACGGTGACGCGAAGGGTGCTGCATGCGTGTGGCTCTGCATGTGGGGCTCCAGGCAGGGAACGCCACCCTCCTGCGTGCCCTTTGGGGACCACTCTAAGAGCACTGAGGGGGGCCATGCCCACCTTCCCATCCTTCCCTCTGCTTGGGCTGGCTCATGGGGAGGAGGGACTGGTCCTGCTCCTGCCACAGCCGGGTTCCAGCCCTGCCCTGCTCCAGGGCACAGTTGGGAAGGCTCTGGACTCGCTGTTGCCAGCCCAGCTCTGCTGGTGTGGCTGAACCTGCCACCTTCCCTGCACCAGGGCGCCTCAGAGGGAGCTGTGCACCCGCTGCGGCTGCCCGGGCAGGTGGAGCTGGGTGGAGGAGCAGAGCTCTGCCTTTTTCCCAGGCTCAGGCTTCGGCTTCCCCCAGGCTCGGGCCCTCTGCCACAAACGGTGCGGTGAAATCCAGGCTTCCCTTAGCATGATCACTGGGTCCGCAGCTGTGGCTCTGCGGGAGAGGCTCTGCAGATCTTGGTGGCACGGGAATGGCCCGTCCATGTGGCAGGGCTGGGGCTGTGCTGGGGCTGGAGGAGAGGGGCACTGGGGTGTCTGCTGCAGTCGGGTCACTGCTCTTGGTGTCACCGGGGGCGGGTCTCTGCGTGCGGGGCAGGGCGGAGGTAGGTCTTGGCTGCTCGCTGGTGTGCACTGGAGCTTGGAGCTGAGCCGTGAGGCCGTGGGCTGAGTGCGGAGCTTGCAGGACCCTCTATCTTGGGCTGTCTGGCCACTTAGGAGCTTGCACCACATTTCTGCTTTGGCACTTCTATCCTTAACCAGCCAGGGAGGGAGAGGGGGAGTGAGTAGCTGTGGCTTTGTCTTCTTCCTGGGGCCCCGTGGGTGAGGACCACCCACTCCCACCCATGCTGTAGCCCCTGTGCCCAATGAGACCCCTGCCCCCTTCTTTGTACCCCAGTTAGCGGCAGGCTGGGCTCCTGCCGTGGGGCTGAGCTCAGCTGCCCTGTTGGATTTGACTTCAATAAAGTTTTCTATTTTTGACCGGTTGTGCCTTATTTTCCCTGCTGGCCCTGAGGAGGCTCTCACTCCCAGCAATTCCCCAGGCCTGTTTTCCATGCCCTTGGACACTGGAGCACTCAGGCCCTGTGGAGGCCAGAAGTGATGCTCACGTGGGCTGACCATCTCCACAAACCCTCCCCCACACCCCTGTGTGGTCAGTCCAGAGGCCTCCTGGTGCTGACCCTTCATCCCCAGGCTGACACGTCCCATGTCCAGTCACTTCCTGGCCCTCTGAAGATGTTCTTGCAGGACAGGGTTACCAACACCTGCACACACACACACACACACACACACACACACACACACAGACACACAGGTGGATGTGGACACAATCTGAGCCACGGCCCAGCCCGCCCAGCTTTCGTTTCATTTCACACCAACATCCTCCCTCAAACTTTCTGGTTGATGCCCACATCCTCTTGAGCCACACCCACGTCCCACAGCCAGAGTGTGGCCGAGCAGATCCCTGTGCCTGGCTAGCCTGACCCAAATCCCGCTGGCGCAGGCTGGCAGCCGCCGGTTCCCGCCCGCCGCAGTGCTGCAATGAGGGCACACGCGGTTGCAGATGGAGCCTTGGCATGTCAGCAGCGCCCGGATCCCGGTGCTCCCCCACCCTGGGAGGTGATGGGAAGGAGACATCCTCTCAGGAAGGCTTGCTGGAGTCAGGTGGTCCTGCTCCCCACACAGATGGCTCTGCCCTGTATGGGATCTCCTGGCAGGATGGATGGGGGTGATGCCAATGCCATGGGGCTCGCTCAGGGTCTTGCCTACAGCAAGTTTGGATAAAAGATGGATCCTGGTAGGCAGGAAGAGTCCAACACCCCTCTCCCACCATCCCACTATCCTGTCTCAGGTGCTCCCTCCCTGGCCACCCGCTCCTGTTTCTCCTGGTTTTTCTTCCAAACTAGGGCACCCATCCCTGCTCCTGTCACACCAGTTCACCTCTTCCCCAGGGCCTCCTGTGGCCTCACCAGGCTGCCGGGGCCGAGGAGCTCTGACGCTGGGAGAGATTAGATCAGCCGGGGAAACCAGTGGTTCTGGCTTCGGTGGTTTGAGCCCTGTGCCAGCCTTGGCTCTCACAGCCTCCTCGTTTGTTTTGCTAACAGCATAAGGTTTTATCTTGAACCATCCAGGAAGTGTCTGGGCCTCCTGGGCAGGCAGGGCTGGGACCCGCGGGGAGATGCGATGGCTGCAGAGGAGGAAAGGAGACACCGGCAACCACCTCAATAACTGCTCCCCGCAGGGCTGGGCAGGGCAGTCTGGGGGCTTGGCTCAGCCCTGCTATCTGCTTCCCTTTGGGAACTTTCTGAGAGAAGTTTCCCTTCCTTCCTCGTCCTCGGCAGCTCTTTGATGAACCTGGGGTGAGAACTCAGCTCTGGCGTGGGGAGCGGCTCTTTCTTCTGCCTGGCTCCCAGGCTCCATCCTTTTTTACCGGGAGGGGATAGTCCACATCCTTTCCCAAGAAGTGCCCCGGCTCCTTACAGCCCCCCACCACCCGGGAAGGAGGCTGGAGCAGTGTGAACGTGAGCGAGCTCAGCAGAGGTTCCTGCACCTGCCCGCGGGCTCGGAGCGCGGTGCAGCATTAATTACTCTCTGCGGGAGGGGAGGAGAGGAATATTGTAGCTGTAATGGACAGAAATGAAATCGTCTTGTTTGAGAATTTAGCTCAGAGTCTCCATAAATTGCAGGTTTAGGTGCTGGCAGATGTCTGGGAAAGTCTCCCACTGTCCTGGGTCAGTGGGTTTTCTCAAGGTCGTTCACGTGGAATGAGCTGATAAATGGATCCAGCAAGGAGCTGCAGATGGAGCTGAGGGTTCATGGGGGACCTGCCCTGCTTTTCCCCAGTTTCAGAGACACGCTGTGCTGGGAGCTGTTCCTCCGCACTGCGAATCACCCCCTGCTCCTGCGATCGACTGGGCTTGGGTCCGATTTGGCTCCGCCAGGCTGAGATTGAGTGAGAGAGGTGTTGAGGGGCTGCAGATCCCTGGGTCTGCTGGGAAGAGTGGCTGTGTCAAAGCACAGCAGCTTGTGAGCATCACTGGGGTGCCTGGGGGCGCCGGGAGAGCACAGGACAGGGTGGGGAGTGGGTCGTGCACTGTGCTGGGGCATTGCTGAGGACGCTGAGGGCACCATGGGCAAGGCAGGAAGGTGCGGTGGCTCCTGGCTGGGGACTGGGGTTGATGGCAGGGAGTGAGAGCACCGAGGGTACCTGGGACCTCAAAATGAGGAGCTTCAGCTGCGGAAGAAGAGCAACCCCCTGGTACAGGCTGGCTGTGCAGCCAGAGGAAGCGTGGGTGTGCGCAGGCTGTGCTGCAGGAGGAGGTGACAGCGCCAGCACCCTGTGCAGGTGGCACGGAGGTGTCACCCTGTGACATGGGGTGGCAGGAACACGTGTACAGGCTGCGTGTCAGGGGTAGGGCATGTAGGGTTGCAGCTGGAATCTCCCCCAGGGGGAAGGTGGCACGGGGCAGGGTACAGCTCCCATCCCCAAGGAGGAGGCAGTGGGGACTGTGCAGCCTGGACTGTGGCAGGAGGTGGCACAGGGGGTGCACAGCCTCAGGGAGAGGGGTGCAGGGCTGTGCACAGGCTGTGTTGTGGGGAGGGTGGCAGTGGGACGGACACAGTGACAGCAGGTGACAGCAGGGTGGGCAGCCTTGGCCAGGTGACAGCTTTGTAGGCAGCGTCTGCAAGGAGATAATGGATACTGTCCCTAAACCATCGAGGAGGTCACTGGGTCTCTCCTGCCTGCCAGTCCTGAGCCCCACCAGCTCTGGGGACCTCGTCCTTTCTCCCTTGAAGGCTCACCTAGCCTGTGCTCCATGCCTGGGGCTGTCCACTTCCAGCACTGCCCAGCTCCAATCTTGCCATTCCTCCCTGCCCTCCTCTTCCTCTCCCTTCTCCCAGCCTCAGCCTCTCCCCTGCCTGATGCCCTTGGAGCCAGCATTGGCCTTTCCTGGCCTGGATCTGGGGAACTCCTCCTTTTCCCCCCACAAATCTTCCCACTTATTTCACAAGTGTGTCTGCTCCTCTCCACCCTCTCTCCTGATCTCTCCCTTCTCCCTGGCTTTCCCCAGTCTCTCCTGACCGTGCTGGCCCCAGTACAGAGGGATGCTGAGCCCTCCCAGCGCAGGGCTGAGCCCCTGGCTGGCTCTGCCGGCCGAGCTGTGGATCCTGGGGGATGAAAGCCCTGGCTGTGTGTGAAGCCGCCCGCTCCAAGGCTCCCTGATTGATATTCCCAGCACTGCTCTGCCCGCTCGGCCGGGCTCTCAGCTGCAGTGCTGTTCCCTGGAGCGGGGCCCAGCCCTGCAGGCTGCTTCACCCGGCACCCAAATCCTGGGGAAGAACCTGGGGCTGTGGCAGGGAGTGTCCCCGAGGTCTCTGTGTGTGTCCCCGAGGTCCCCGCGTGTCCCCAGGCACTCGGAGGCCCCTCAGCCCACAGAGCACCCAGAGGCTGTG